TCGTACATCGCTAGGCTTTTCCACGCCGTTCCAATCCTTGGCACATTTGCAGCCTGTAAATCTTAGATAAATATTCAGCTTCAGGTGAAATACATAGTCTAGCCTGGTGTGCTTCAATTGGTATATCAAATCGAGTGTAGTTAAAATTTTTCGGTGGACACAAACAATTTTCGTTGAAAAAAGGTAGGTAGAGGCATCCACAGGCCCGGATACAATATTTCTGCACATTGAGGCAACATGGACTTTTCAATGTGGTACTATTTCTGGAAAAACTATGATATATTACCGTTCAGCTCTGTTTTGCATTGGCTATTATGTCTCGATAGAGAGTACGCAATTTTTCCCTGATAAGGCTCCTGCCTCAGCATTAACTGTTACTCGATCTATCGACCGATTGTCTTATTTTGACCCATATTTAACCGCTTTTCTTATTCGGACCCATATTTAACTGCTTTTCTAATTCGGACCCATATATGACCGATTGTCTTATTTGGACCCTTATTTAACCGGTTGTCATATTGACTTATTCAGACCCATATTTAACCGGTTGTCTTATTCGGACTCATATATGACTGATTGTCTTATTCGTACGAATTTTTATTCGTACCCGTACGTTCGCTGCTTCGTCGTCACCTGTGTAAATCAGTTCCAAACTGTATATAAATGTGCTGGCATGCCTGTCTGTCGTCTCAAAGTATTCAGCAATTTGTAACTGACAAGCCTGTCATTCGTCTTGTAGCTTTCAACAGTTTGTAGCTGACAAGCCTGTCGGTCGTTTATAATAAAAAACAGCAAGTAGCATTTATATACCACTTTTAATTATTCCTGAACAGTTAGCGCCATATTTTTTGTCGTTCAAAATTTCATCGTCAGTTAGGATTTTAAATAGAATTTTAATTCGTGTATAATAAGGGAAAATATAGAAGTTATGAATCATTTATCATAATCATATGAACTTCAGTCCAAAAAATTTTCTTCGGATGCCTCACGAACGAAAAAATAACCTAACGTCTTTTTCAATTTAACAATTTCGTGTGATTTATCGCGGCTGCATCATTTAATTGGAAAAAGAATGAGCTATGTAGGTTTTGACAAATTATTCAGTGAAAAGAGTCAGCCATCGTTTTCTTCCGTGATTAGAAACATTCTAATGCAGCATTTCCAGTGACGAATGTCAGAGTAGCATTGTAGGTACGTTTCATTCGGTAATGTCTACGATTAAAAACTTTTTCTTCACACTTTTACGAAGTTGGTTATAGCAGAACTTTTAACACATGAATTATTAACTCGTCACAAAACATCAGCCTGAAAGCCTCACATGCGATTAAAAAGAAATGTAATGAACGAAAATAAATGTGATTAACGGCAGCATTAATTCTGGGAACATTTGGGAGCAGAAAATCCCAGCTAAAAATTCAGCGTTAGACCAAATGCTTAAGTCTGGCTTGATGTGCTTTAATTCGTACGTCATATCGAGTGTAAATATGAAGGTTTCGATGTAATAGACAATGTTCCGTCAAAAATCATCAGACGCACTGCATTTACTAGCGACGGAAAAAAACTCGTAATGTAGTCGCTATGAATATTTTTCATCTTGATGAAAAGAAGATTGTATGCAAATAATGGATAATAATTCTTTTTAATACTTGGCCGAGGTAATATTCGGTACATCTGATATTAATAAATATAACTGCAGTTGTGTTGCTTCTGGTGTAGAAATTAGCAGCGAGATTTTTATTCATCTCAGTTTCATTAAAAATGCAATTTTTTAGGCCGAGGACCTTCGTCATTCGGGTTTGGTGCAGTAGAATTTTCGATACATTTTTTGTCGCCTTACGGCTAAATTTTTACATATTTTCTAATGTATTAACATTCATTGATATACAGTGTAGTACAGTACAGTACAGTACAGTACAGTACGGTACAGACAATTTTTATCAACTAATTGCAGTGCAACATTCTAGGCTCACCATTTGTTTCTTGATCAATGCTATGGAACTGAAGACTTCGCGCTACTCTATCGTCCCAGACTGTCACGAATCTCTGCTGATATTCTCGTCGCCAGAATTACTGCGATACTCAGTAGTACTCGCTGATAATTTCCATTGATTTTTGTAGGAGAACGAAGAGGAATTCATTCGTCATTGTGTCCGGGGTCATTTCCAGACGAGGCCTTGTTTGTTGTTATTAAAATGATTTGCGTTAATTACTGTCCACTTATCCACAAAACCTAATGTTTCAGATTATTTTTTTATACAAACGAAGCTTCAACGCAGGCTATTTTCATTTCGTTAATTGAAAGTGAAAAAGTAAGATTATTATTTAACCTGAATTTTACTCAATTTATTTAGCAAGCTGACAACACAAAATCTATGTGATTTTCATACTACATAAAATCAATAAGGTGGACGTTCACTGCATCTATTGCAGCCGCTGGCTGACGACAGTTTATGAATGTAGTATATTAATTAGGCAAGTATTCATTCATTATATTATATTGTTATTTTACAGTAGGTTACTCATTCAATTCCAACGTTAGATCATCCATGAGTTTACTTACGATATTTAATTATCGAAATGAATTGAAAATTAGAAAAGAAGGCTGTCCTTGGTAGAGGCTGTCCCGCCACTCAGCCTGTCCTCCAGCCCGCCACGCAGCTTGTCCTCCAGCCCGCCACGCAGCTTGTCCTCCAGCCCGCCACGCAGCTTGTATCATCCTTGAGTGGAATCAAGCTCCAGAAATGTTTAGTTTGGTATCTATGCTACATTGAGCGCATATTGTGGTGCGCGCGGGACTTTGTCGCGCTCTCCTCAACATTCACACTTATTGTCCTAGACTTCACCTAGAGTTTTGAAGCTACAACAATGAGACATATACCGTTCGATTTGCAAAAGAAAGATCTACAATTCATCGTAAACGTTTTTCCAATTTCGTTATAGTTTGGATTTTATTCCGCCAAAAGGGGGGGTGTGGGGGAAAAATCGAAAAATTTCCGAAAAATTTACAAAAAATGCCGCCACACCCACAAAAATTAGAATTTCAAAAAACGTCCACGATGAATTATAGATATGGTCTTTACGCATCGAATGATATGTGTTTCAATGTTGTAGCTCTAAAATCCTAGAAGGAGTAGGATTTCTACGGTACCCACTTTTTTGGCCGTTTTCTAAGAATTTCACGTTTTCTTTCATTTTTTTTTCGAAAAATTTACACGAACAAAAAGTCTTGGATTTCTGTTTTACATATGTGTACCAAATTTCAAAGTGATCTGTCTGTAAATAGCCGAGATAAATTTTAGGGTAGACGCTCCCCTAAAATGGAGCATGAAACAACTTTTTTATTTACGGACGGATCATTTTGAATCTTGCTGCACATATATAAAATAGAAATCTAAGACTTTTTTGTTCGTGATAATTTTCAGAAAAAAATGAAAGAAAACGGGAAATGTATAGAAATATTCGCGATTCGTTTGACCATATTTAGCGATTATCCTATCAATTTTTCACATTTTATTTATTTATTCGTATTTGTTAAATTTTGGCCCCTCCCCCATTGCTTCAAAATATAATCAAGCTAAACAGAAATCAGAAAAAGTGACCGGATGATCACCAGACCAGGTCTTTACGAATCGAATGGTGTATCTCTCAATGTTGTAGCTTGATAATCATAGGAAGAGACAGATTTCTAAAATGAAAATTCCAGGAGCAAAAAAACTGATATTTTTGCTCATTGCAGTTACATGTTTTATCCACGGCTTTGCTCTGGATTTCGGCAAACAAATGAACGTACAAACATTGCTTTGGGCTCTTAGAATGCGCAGTTCTTTGACCTTTGAAATGAACTTGAAAACCGGAAAAATCTCAATTTTCGATTTTTGACGTGCAAGCTCCGTGCAAGCTCCCCTTAACACGTTGACTACGATTGCTTCATCTTGTACAATTATTTCATTTTTTGTACTTTTTTTAAGCAGGGTTGCTAGACGTTCATTTTTTCCGGACAATTTCCGTGATTTAGTTTTTCTCAATTGCTTTGGCCGGCTAAAATTTATGATAGGAGTACTTCCTAATTAAATTTTAAATACTGCAAAAAAGAAAATAAATGGAATTTTTATAGCGGAACCTACAAATAAACTAGTATAAATTGAATTATTGGCCTTTTTTGGACTTTTTTGTTCTCGTATTTGGCCGATTTTAGGCAACCTGAATTATGTACCACTAACTCCTGGAGAAATACATTTCGTGGTACGCATATGCACCATATACGTAGTCAACGTGTTAAAACACGATAAGCGTTAAAGCCCTCAAAATCCTTTAAAAAGTTTTAAACTTGATTACACGCATTCAACACATGGATGGTCATACAAACACACAACAAAACTCTGGATTTCCCGTAGTCCACTAAATATCTATGCTCAGTGAGAGCTTACTACGAGTGCCGGGAAAATTAAGATCAATTTGTCCATTGGGATGACGCGATCCAAAAAGCAATTCAAAGAATATCTGTTGCAGACAATTGCTGCCTCCAGACGTTGCCTCAGCCCAGAGTTGCGAACAGCTCAACCTGACTTTTTATGCAACCCAAAGTTGCTTGCAACCGATAAACGCGAAAAAACATGCTTGGCGCTGTAAAAGCATGCCAAAGTTTCGCCAATGTCGCATTGTGTCAAAATTGGAAGCAAAGCCCAATAGCAAACCGCTGCTCGATATTATTGTCAATCATTAACAAAACAGTAGAAAACCCCGATTCTCTTAACGAATCACAACTGAGGATCAAAATGTCAGTAGGAAATATATATCTCTAAATTAACTACCTCCCAGCAAAGTTCGCTTTTCCAGCGGTTAGGCACTAGGCTGCCAGTCTTATCACTTATGAGACTAGGAGGTAGACGCGTAGACACTAGGCTGCCAGTCTCATCACTTATGAGACTAGGAGGTAGACACGTAGACACTAGGCTGCCAGTCAAATCACTTATGAGACTAGGCGTCAGTCTCATCACTTATGAGACTAGGAGGTAGACACGTAGACACTAGGCTGCCAGTCTCTTCACTTATCTCATAGAAACGGAGAACCCCGCTTTGAACGTCTTCGCCGCCGCAGTGCCTCGGAGAAGGAAAGTTACAGAATCGGATTCCCCAACCTGAAAATTAAAACAATTTCAGAAAGTAATTTAACACTTAAGCTCAGACTGATTACATATATTGCAGTGACTTATTTTCTTAAACCACTTATGTGAGGAAATTTTTTTTATTTAGTTCTAAAATTCAATAAATGATATTTGATTTGGAACGGTAGTGCAAAACGAATTATAGAACAGTCAGCAGGTGATAATGAATAAGTTATTAGACCCAAAAAAAAGCAAACCAAGGCAGCCCTGCAATGAAGTGCGAGTGTTAGAGACCTATAAAACATATTTTAAAAATGTTAGAGACTATATATATAACAGTTAATCTTAACTATAATTAAAATTAGAGTGATTGTTCAGCTGGGACCAATGTTGAGTAATTAAACAGAAAGATCGATACCCAATGCGATGGCAAATAACTTGAACATAAATCAAATCAAAACTTCATTGAAATTGTGAGTTAATAGAATGTTCGAAAAACTCGATCGTAGTAATATGAGGAGACGGTAAAGTGCTTCCTATCACTTACCCATCTATCAGTGCACCAATTAACTTGTCCTGATCTCTCGGGGGAACTTGTTTCAAGGCCCAGCGTGTAGCCGCCGCAGGACCCGTCAGCGCCAGAAAAATAACCATAATAGTTAAGGACCAGTGTAGCAGCTGTCGTGAAGGTGACGCTGCAGTTGTAGGTTGGACCGTCGGGGAAAGCCAGGCATCCAAACCCGGGATGTGAGAACACCATAAATCGTCCTCCGGGATTTAGAGGCGGGAGTCGGATGGTTTTGCCGCATTCGTTTACTGCAAATTGAAATTAAATTAATAATCTCGCTGCAACTGAAAAATTATCAACTAAGTAAGAGGTCGACAACATAGGGTAATGGATGAAAATAATTAATCATTGATGATGAGACAGTAATATTTGTCAGAAATTTCGTAACGACATTTTAGTTTAGTGTTCAACGAAAGTAAAGTGCGGAAGGCCAAGGTTAGATGACTATTGTGCCGTTGAAAGCCTGAACGGAGTAAAGTTTCGAAACTCAGATTTCAAGACTTAAGCTTAACTTTGAGTTGAAGCAGCGAAGCATACGGAAATGAAGCCAATAATAAAATTGATGGCGTTCATGAGTATTGATTCAGTAAAATAGTTTACAACACGTTGATTATATAATTCGTCAATTTGAAGACAGTAGTGCAATAAAGTGTTTTCAGCAGATTTATCAGTAACCCTAAACCTATAAGGTTATGTAGGCATGTTGTGGAGTTCCTCGGGACCCCAAAACACGATAAATTCAAGTTTATACCTATATCCTGATATAATCTGAGATACACAATTAAATACGTTAACCGCGAATCACCGAAACACGTACATCGCAGACATGCACGATTGGATAACAATAACAACGAGGGAAATTCCTTCACATCCTATTTATTATATAATAATATAATATTATCTAATAATATATCCAAGATTTTCTGGAAAGAAGTCCACATGTGAGTGAAGGAAATAGACGCGCAACTCATTGTAGCCAATATTTTATAGTTTTGTTCCAATTCAGCAACCAGGAAGTGGAATTTTTTGTTCCGAAAGAAGCCTGTTACATTTAGTTCAAATGAATTCCAGACATTCATTTTTCCATTGCTATTCTGTGACGATGGTGTCATCTTTTAAAAGTTTTCTTATGTATGTCTCCACCAAATCTCCCTCTTTCAGCTGAGCATTGGACAGACCAGGAAACTTTTCATGAAGAGACTTGAAACACTTTTCTTTTTGCTTAATGTTTTCACTGTTTCACAATCCCCAACTTGATATGAAATGGGAGAGGTAAGATCTTTTCGGTATCGACTGAACTTTGTCTTTGAATATTTTAACTCTAGGAATAAGAGCCTTTCTGATTGGCCACGTCTGCCTGACATCATTTTGTTTTCGGCCACGGCTACCCATTCAATGAGTGCCAAATAGCAAAATACCGTTAAAACCACTAGTTAAACATGCGACATGCAAACAAATCCTATGCTCTGGTGCTCACGTATGTAATAAGTCGGCCAAATTGTGTTGACGAAGACGGGCAACCCGCATGGGGTGTCGGTGACGCAAGAAGCCACGTCCAAAATGTAGTAGGAAGCGACGTTGTAACGGCCATTTTCTCGAGGAATGAAGTAAGAATACTGGTAACTATCTACCACTGGAAAGAAAATAATCTAGTATTAGTAACGTAATTAGAATATACTACAACTACAGAATGAAATGTTGCCGAGTTTTTAAAGTTTTAATTAGCTTTACGTTTTAAAATCGTATCAGGAAAACTAAAAATTAATTTTCTAATGACCTTGAAAATTTCGTGCGCCAGAATAATCAGTGTCACTCATAATGTGGCAACAGAAAACGATCATCGAAAAAATATAGATGGAGAAATCAAATAAAATTCTATAGTGTTGGCCATCTTGAGGCTGGCAGCTCCGATCAATAAATCAGTTACATAATGCCTATGTTAAGTTAGTATTTACATTCTCAACATTTCTCATGTCAAAATTCACAATTGGCAAGTGTGGATCAGCTCCATTTCATCTTGATTATGGGAGTGGCGTGCGTAAGAGTAAAATAATTCGTTTCATTGCAAACAATTTCAGCGGAAGATGTCACCAGTACGAGGAGACATACTCCACTCCTTGCATTTACGGTTCGCTGTGCACGGTTCAAGCGCTGCTTCAAACTTTCACTGGGCTAAAGAACTACACCTCCATAAGAGTAGGTGTTGTTAAAGCGGTGTTGAGAGAAGATAAAGTGGTACCTCTTTGTTTGAAGCGAGAAATAAATAATTCAGACTTAGTAGACAACTTACCAGATCCCTCAAGTGAGTATACAAAGTCAGAAAAAACATCCGAGAAGAAATTCGCGAGCTGGTACTGCTTGAATTCGATATTTTCGACAGTGGTGTTGATGTAGAGAGCGGTGCCTGTTGAGATATACATAGGTAAACAACGGTTTATGGTCATGGTCAAACGACCTGCTAAATAGAAGTGATGTTTTAATAAAAGTGAATAACATTTAACTATCTGAGGTAAGTGGATATTAGTTCTGAGGTTGGCACAACGAATGAGAGCTAATAAGTTTTACGAATTGGTACCAACACAATCTCTAGGTAACCTGACCGCTGGTGTCTCCTGCTCACTGCCTACTGGAAGGACCTGGAAGCTATGTATTTAGCGCGCAGTGCTGGTGACCTCTGGGACTCTATCTCGCTTCTAACAAGATGTGGTATGCAAAGTTTGGGTATGATTGTTTTTTATTACTATTTACATAAGTGATTGTTACTTCTTATACTTTGATCCTTAACCGTTCTACACCACTGGATCTGCAGCGTAACCCCAACGTTTAAGAGATTACTATACTATACGAAACTTGTCAAAAAGAGGAAAAACATCCGACTGAGAACGTATTAGGACCTGAAATAATCACCATAGCAGTAGTTAAGCGCATCGCATAAACTACGCTCACATATAAATGCGCACACCTATAACCACTCCCGACAATACACGAAGATTCACACCAGTAAGAACACGCGCATTCACTCCCTCGTGTGGGTGGATATTAGTACACCAGAACTCGCACAGCCTCAGAGTTACTAGCCTTTATGTTCCCGAAACTAAATTATATCCATTGAAACTCCACATTTTAATGTGCGTCACGATGAACATTCCAACAGATCCTAATTGAGAAGGTTGTATGTCCAAAATTAAACGATACCTTATTAGGTCTATCACCCACGCTGATCTACTCGTACAAATTTCATCACCTCAGAAGATTCTATTGCCTGCTTCATCAAACGCTTCCTCAATATCGTCATTACCGTTACATCCCATATTCAACCATGTACAAACCTCGCTCGACGGCTTCTAGCGACAAACTGGCACATGCGGATGCGAAAATACTGTTTACTAAATACTTTCCTTGGGTATAAGCTTTCAGCCGGGAAACTGGGAGTGCGAAAACTTGCAGCGCATACTTGCAGCTAATACTAGGCGCGTGTATAAGCGCCTTTAGGCTCTAGATTAGTGCAAGTCATAACCTCTCCTAGCCTTACCTAAACAACACTTCTGCCCTCAAACGCTAGGTGTTATTCATACACAAGTTACCCGACAGCCTTCTGAATACAGATGAATGTAGGTAGATGATGATGAATTTATAGTATTTGGTTGTGGAATCAGAAATAGTTCACTCAATTAACTAAAACCTTATCTCGTTTATTTATTTCATGGTTACCTCAATCGCATATATATGGATTTTAAAGTAAATTCTCTGCTTTACAAATCAAGTCCTAATATACGTTCATCTATATTTCCAATCAGACTTGTAATCTGTAACATAATTTTATGTGATACTGGTCAAGCGAACTAAGAATTTTGCAGCTTATCTATTGTCAGTGAACGTAAGACTCAACTCATTAATGTTACAGCTCATTCATACAAGTAACTCGCGGACTCACTGAAAGGCACAGTTGCAGGTGGTGCGTAGGAAATGCTGGAATTTGCCACGTAAATAACTTTTTCGCCACCATGACAGGAGCAAGGCTTACTATTGAATTGGTAAGCCATGCAGGTTCCATCGAAAGCAAAGGCAGTCATATCTGGAAAAGTTAAATTCGTTTTCTGGTAGTTTTTTTGTGTAATTCACTGAAATGTGATTATTATTTATGTGATTAATATATTTCAAGCAAATATTTTATTTCGCAAGAACTTTGAACTCAAAAAAGATTTTACAACCACTGCTCCTTCCTGTTGAGTATACTCGTGAACTTATGCTCGTTGATGCACCTTGTAAGCTGATATTTAATTTTGAAAATAATTAGCTAGTCCTTGTCTCTTGATGGTGTCCACCTTTACACTTAAATCGTTAAATATCATTGAATCAACATTGGGGCTTTCAAGAAACTTGCATAATATCATATATATAATTTGATTGAAAAACAGATCATACTTTTCTTTAAAAAATTTTATTGTTGTTCAATGAGTCGAAATTTCTTGCCGGCGCTGAGAGATCAATAAGCTGGTTATCAAATGGTATTTTGATAGAATACGACGTGTCGAGTAATCAATCGACTCGGCCCTCGTTCTGGTCATGCTTGCCCGTATCCTCGGTACGTTTTCACCATTGTACAATATGGCTGCTAATATTCTATAACTGCATCCGAATGTCTTTCAAAATGCGTTATGGCTGGCGTTGTACTTTTAGCCCCATCCAAGTAGTGAAACCGTAATAACAAAGTAAACGCTAATAAGAAGTGAAAGTTGAATGTAGCGTGTCATTCACCGACTCTTTCCCTGCAGGGGCAGACGCGTTATCACCTGCCACGTTAAAAACAATTCCTCACCCGCCAAGGCTGAGCTTCTCGCGCACTGCACCACATCTGACGCAGTGATTTTCTTGGACGCATTAGTGGCGAATGCCAAATCGCTCTCCGTGATTGAGAAACGTATGTAAGTCTGAAGCAAGGAATATTCTCATCGTTAAATCACTTATCAACGCTCACAAAGCATGCAAATCACCGAGAATTTCATATGATTGATGAATTTATTAGTTATTTTCAAGTGAAAGGCAGTCTATGAACTGACTAGGAAAAGAGCTATCAGTGGTATGAGAATCAAGATTAAAATGCTAAAAGTCGCAGTAAAGGATGAAAACGCCTTCAAACAGGGTTTAACTTTGACGAGAAAAAATTATTTTAAAACTGAATACATGTTTCAGGCGGAAATGCTGCAAGCTTTAGTGTAGTATTTTATTAGCTTACCACCATCGACTTGGGGCCCCGCACTTGCAGGGTCCTGAAGCGCACGGACGTAGTCCGTCCACCCCCACAGCCAAGTGCACCAGAGGAGCCTGAAACCACGTTGACCTGTGGCAAACGTGGGCTGTTCACTTGAAATTGCCATGAAAGGTCTAAAATAACTGAATATGTTCTTTTATGAAAGTTAGTGGACTTTTGAGCTTATTTGTTTCATGTTTCGAGTCTGATCCCGATCCAATTAGACTCGGTATAAAAAAGTGCTATGCATTAAAGGTGTAATCAATCGATCCGATACTGCTCGGTGTGCAGGATTGAACCTATTTTTGTTATGATGAGCGTGCATCATTTCCCGTCAAATGATGTCACCAAGACAAATCCTTAAGAACATAGATCAAAATGTCGATGTGAATTGGGGTCAAGTTTCAATTATTTAATTGGGGCTCAACTTCTATGAGAACTGCATATAAACCCATTTCATGTCTCAACCGGAACGAACATTAATTGTAGTAGAAAATCAAGGTGGCTCACAAATGTTTGAACTTCGCAGATAGTGTTGCATCGCAAAATTGAAAAAACATAAGTGTCGATGAAAAAATAATTTATTAGGTATATGCTTAATCACCTACTACTATTTCAGCGAAACATGCATTCATGAGAACATGCATATAAAATTATGAAACTTAGAGCGCGGCTGTTATAATGATATATGCTTAAAACTCACGAAGATAAAAATAGCCATTTAGGTGTACAAAACGGATTATGGAAAAATGATAAGCTGAGGAGAATATCAAATGTCGTAGTAGCTCGCGGTACTCACGCTGTCGGGATACGATGCCACAGAGAGTCCAAAGCACAGCACCTGCAACACAGAACAAGTTAAAATTAAACAAGGGAAACTGCATCAGGAAAATGAATCAATGTAAATAAAAGGCTCAACACTTTGAGCATATAAGGCTTTATGATAAGAAATGAGAAGGAATCCCTTCTAATATACTCGAATTAGGGATGTTATTGCCGAAATTGTATAAATCACGTGGTTTAAAAGATGATACGTGGAACTTTTGAAGAAGAAAGAAACAGTTACTGTCTATTAAGCAAAGGACATTTTGTGAAACTGGGAAATTAAAAAGGCGAAACTGAATCAACTTTTATTGCAATTAAAATAATTCACAAAGGCGATGAATAAAGGGAACTTTCACGAAATTTGTTGGTCAAAAAATACATGCACGGCAAATTGGTCTCATTAAAAAACACAATATTCTATTCGTCGGCAACTGGGCAATTGTTTTTAGGAATGTCGATTCCTTGCAATTCATTTGCTACTTGAATATGTTTGAGAGTGTCACCGCAAATAATGTACAGAAATGATAATTGTTTAAAATGGTGTTCTATGCTCTGTTAATTATGCATGTTTGTCATTCAGTGCATTATATTTGTCTCATTTAAAATGAATAATTTAGATAGGAATGTACTCACTTCGAGCCGGTTTGTATAAAACCTGTTTCTTAATGTAAACAAACTCTCCTTGACAATCTATTATGAAAATTCTAAACAAGTTTGATACACGACTGGTATTTACTTGGAGGGACGCTTTTATTATGTGAACATTTCAATTCGGCTTAGGAAATTATTATATCCACTACTGCATTAAAGATATATATAATCGAGTGTGGGGTATGTGCCAATAATCTAACTAGTGTTATCAATTCATTCGATTGACAGGAAGCCAATTACAAGTATCATGCCGCATATTTCGAGCATATGGCTCTTACAGAACACAAAACATAACTTGACGACAATCTCACCGAAGTGAAGAGGCCAGGGAGGATGTCCAGGATGCGAAATTCCTGCATAATGTTGGCTTTATATCTTGCGATTTTTCGACTTCCTACAACTCTAAAACAATAGAAAGGATCACTGTAAATAAATTTATCAGATTCTTATATTATATGTTATTTTGACACACGGTTTCTATAAACACATGAATTCCTTAATTAATACTGTTATTCTAGTGAGGTGCGACAAATATGTAATGTAATGAGTCTATCGTTAAGATGCATGGCGTGGTCAAGTTTGTGCTAAGAATACAAATAATAATACAAGTTTGTGCTAAGACTAAGAATACGAATAAGATTTCAGTCATCAACAGTGAGTCTGACCAGGTTAAATTCGAAGCGTCGTTGGTGATTTTAACTGCCTAATGCCCTGTCTCTTGTTATCTATTGCTCCTCTTTCTCATTTCTCAATGGCTGAATTAATGTATCCTAGTGTATCTCTTGGAGATGATCAGATTGCGAATATTCCATAAATTTCTTGTAAAATGTACGACTGTCATACCTTTACAGGCCGAATGAGTGACGTTGTTCAAAAATCGCATTACTTTTCACGTGTGTGCATTAATATTAGAAGTCTAATGAAAACTTTGACCAACTCATGATGTGTCTCAGCGCTTTTGATTTTAAATTTTCAGTGATTTCAGTAACGGAAACGTGGCTTCGCTCAAACTCCGATCAATTGCACTGTTTGTGGTTTTCAAAATCTAGCATATACCCCAATCGCCATGGGAGATGTATGACTACATATGTCTATAACAAATGCAGTTCTAGATTACTTGAAGCGTTCACCTGGGTAGAAAATGAATATGAATTGCTGAATATATGTTGCCTGCGTTTGACCTCTCTATATTATAGAAGAAGGTCTATCGGTCTTCTTCCAATAGCGTTCAAAATTTCAATATTTTTTTTCACTCGAGGTAATATAAAAAATTAGGAGATCTAATACAGGAAGCTTTTGTTGTAAATTCATTATTAATCTGTACAATCCTCCTAACCTGTGTTCAAGCAACAATTTTATTCATGACATGACATTCTTTCATAACTCTACCAACCGCGAAAATAACATTACGCCTTATTCGCTGCTTGATCATATTTGGCGTAATTTGTATGGATCGAACTAAAAATTAGCCGTTATTGACTTTGAGTTGTCAAATCACTTGAACGACATTCTTTTAATTTGCAACTGGGTTTTCGACTGCTCCATCTAGGAAAAAACTCGCCTTATTAATGCTGGCAATATCCAAAAGTTTGAGGAAAAAATTAATCACTTTTCTTCTGAGTTTCAAACTAATATTGATGAACCAAACCTTGCAATGCAGTCTTGCATGGCTGACCTTTCCAAAATTTACAATGCATCTTTTTCTATATTTCCTATAAAATTTGTCAAGGCTAGAAAACATGGCCTCTAAGGGTGACCGCCGAAATAAAGTCTGTCATCGAGAAGAAGCATAATCTTTTAAAACTTTCTCGCTCTGCTGTAATTTACCGTAGCCGGCCTAGCATGCATATTATTTACTGTAGCCGGCCTAGCATGCATTCGCTGGTTGAATCGACGTTTAAACAGCTACCTATTAGGACGTTGGGATCGCGCGTTGAAAGAAGTTGATAATGAAAATTTAAGAAACGTCATTCACGAAACGTCGTACTGACGTTTCGACGTAACGTTGATTCAATTTTTCTACTATGACGTTGCTGCAACGTTAAATTCTCTGATTGAAGAACCTATCTGTTTCCAACGTTGGGATCGCGCTGTAAAAAGGTTTAGAATGAAAAGTAAGGCAACATCATTCTTGAAACGTCCTACTGACATTACAATGCAACGTTGTAGCCGCTCTTCATTAAACATGTTTTATTGTGACGTTATATCACATGAGTATCTTATTAAAAGTAGTTGCATTTAATTAGATACCGACATACTATTTGAAACCCTATCTATTCACTTTTTTATACTCCGCCTCGAGAACCATTCGAGCGTTGCAGGATACGAACCCGGGACCGCTGTAGACCGCGCGACGCCTTAGCAACCTTGACCATGGTAGCTAGCGGGAATGAGCAATAAAAATAAGCCAAAGAATTATTCGACTCCTTGAAAATTGTAATGAATTTTCTGGTCATTAATCCTACGCTTATATCATTCAACTTTGGTGTGATAACATTAGTTCCACGTTGTTAAATTGCTAAACATTCACCATACCAATATCGACCATTTTTGAGCGTTGAAATAATGTTATTTTGTGTCTCTTCTAGTGTTGGTCATATTTCGACATTGATTTGACATTTAATTTTGGTTGTTTAGCATTTCAACCTGAAATAAACCAATAATCAACTTTGTTTCAACGTCCAATGCCTGCTGCGGGTACAGCTCGACTTTAATTCAGCGGGATTCGAACAACTCTATAGGGTTTTATGAAATATGCTAACTCCTTACTTGCGATGAATCTTGCACACAAAAAATCGAATTGTCCAGAAATAACAAGCTTATATCTGGCACCGATACGGGTACTGAATTCAACTATTATTTTTCTCTCCGTTGTCAATAACATAACTAAAGGTTTAGGTCCTGTGAGAGGTGGTACGACTTTTGGTGTTCCTTTCTGTGAGGCATCCTGCTTTCTTTCTCCTACTTGTGCATCGGAAATAAAAAGTTTGTTACGATTATGCAGAGACAAGAGGCTTCATATTAAGGACATTCAGCCATGAATATTATTTGAAGTTGCTGGCATCGTAGCGCCAGTTTTTACCCATATTTTTAATTTGTGTAAATCTGCTGGAGTCTACCCTGATGTCCTGAAACGCGCCCTTATCAGACCAGTTTTTAAATCCGGCAACTCGAATAATATGCGCAATTTTAGCCCGATATCTACTTTACCTTTTCTTAATAGGATATTCGAAAAAATATACACTATAGACTCACAACATTTTCTTGACAAATTTTCACTTATATCTGATAATCAGTTTGGTTTTCTTAAGGGCACTGTTGTTGCTTGTTGTGCCGTCACGCTTGTCGGGAGGAGGCTCAGGTGGTGGCCGGGAGGGAGGTACCGGAAGAGGGGGGAGATGGGCGAAGGGAGGGAGGGTGGCCAGGAACGCCGCCGCCTCCACGGGGCTGTCCCACAATGAGGAGACGCTGAGGGACGTAGGGAAGGAGGGGAAGGCAAAGAGATGCTGGACGGACTAGAGGGGATCCTCGCACTCCGGGCAGGCGGCGCTAGAGGCGCGTCCGACCCTAGAGGTGTAGGACGCCAGGGAGCTACAGTATCCCAAACGGAGCTGGGATAGCGCCGAACGGCAGGGGCGAGGAAGCAAGGCCTCCACTGATGCAATCGTCGGTGGCTGGGCTGCGAGGACGGCGTTGAAAACGTCAGTCGCCGATGGCGGCAGGCGATCTCCATGCGAAGGGAGCGCTTGTTCTCTCCATTGGCACCGGCGGGCATAATACCGTTTGCCAGAAATGATGCTACAAGGTGGCCGAACCTCGACTCGAGGTGAACAGATGCAATGTGGAATGAGGTATGGCAGGACTGGAGGGTGCTGGCGAGGAACTGGGCACAAGCCAGGTCCAGGTGAGCGGACAAGGGAAGGACGCCGGTCTCATGGTGAAGATGGACGATCGTGGCCATTTTGATGCAGCCGGTGGCTAGTCTCAGGGCAGCGTTTTGGATAGTTTGAAGGCTAGCTATTGCAGTGCGTGAGGCAACAGGGTACCAGATGGGGGCTGCGTAGTTGAGAATTGGGCTCGTGATGGTTCGTTAGGTGGCAATGATGTCCTCGGAGAAGCCCCTGTTAGTGCCGGCAAGGGCTTCTAGGATGCGTAGAGATCCCGTCGCAGATGCAGGCATTGAATCATTGGGGCTTTCATATTTAGACCGGCACTGGGATATCAGAGATGAAGTGGTTAAAGAGG